GGTTTGTTTCTATTTTTTCTTTTGCTTTTTTGTTTTTCTAAAAAGAGCTCTCATGATAAGAAGAAGCATCAATGGGGACATTTCATTGTGCTCATATAGTAAGTCAGGATGGCCGCAGAAGGTTCCACCGTGCGTCAGCTCTGACAAGGGGTAAGAAACTCCTTTTGGTTCACACGCTCTGACACCAAAACCCACCAAGTGTTTTGTTTCTCCTGAACCTCTCGCTCTGCGGCCACTGGCACACTCGTCAAGGGGCGTTGTCATTGTCACCTCTCTCTTTCCTCGTGACTCACTTCTCACTGCTCAAGCTCAGCTTGCAAGTGGTCTTTATGCTAATTTATAAATAATTCCTTATTTTATAAAGCAGATACTCTGACAATGTTTCCCCCTGAGTACTCGGGAGACTCTGGCCTATCATCTCCTTCGGGTGTGGTGACTGGAGGTGTCGGGATGCTAATTATTGCTGTAGTGACGTAAGGCTGCTCACAGTTTAGTTTAACGCACTCTTCCACTTTGGCATTTAAGCTGGAACGGCTGCAGGAAGGAACAAAAATCCATGAAGAAAGGAAGTCCACATTACTGCAAACCTCTCATGTGCTCAATATCACTCCCTTAGCCGACTGTCTCCATCCTGCGCCATTGGAGAGCTCAGAGGTGCAAAGTGGCACCATCCCACCACCCTGCACCCCAGCAGCACATGGTCCGTGGCTTTGTTCATGGACAGGCCCCCATTCTCCCTTCCTTCCCACCATTTCAGCACTTCTAAAGGTTTCTGGGCTCATCACCTAAGTGCTTCTGAGTAGGGGGAAGCATTTGAGCTGCTCCCTGGAGAGCAAACTTTGCATAGCCCAGTGACGTGCTATGCAAGACAATGGAAACTGAGGTGCAGTCCCAGTCTCCTATCGATTTCTCCATGTTTATTTAAGAACATTTTGTATGTTACATATCCTCAAGAGTAAGACATAGAGATAAGCGCAATCATAAATGTCAGCGTGCTCATGGAGTTGCTGCAGTACCTCAGCATTATAAGAAACTTATAAATCTCAGAGCATTTTAAGGTGAGACTGGTGTTTTGTGCTTGTGTTTTTAAGTTGTATTTTAGTACAAAGGTGGTGCTTTGTGTGCTCATGTACTCTGTGACTGGAAGTATGATGCAGGCAAGTCCTCCAGCAGAGAACGGATCCAGACAGGGTATTTCCTGAAAAGCTAAGACAGGTTGGACCTTTGTACTGGCCAGGAGGTCCCATTGCACAACAGCCGAAAAGCTCCAGTAGCTACGAGCTGCTGGATTGTTCATGGAAGTGAAATCCAAACCTAGTAACTCTACAAATCAAGCTACTCAAAATGTAACTTAACAAGACAATCTCTACAGCAGCTAGTGCTGAAAAAGCTTCTTTCTTAAATGGTGGCATGCTTGAGTTCAATAAAAAACACTTCTGGGTCTCCTGAGACCATTACTGTGTTTTCAGAGGTGGTGTCTGGATATACCTGAAAGCCAAATGGTTTACTTGTGAGAGTACAGAGATGTTCAGGAAATTACAGGCTCTTAAACTGCACTTTCCTCACTTTTGTAATAACTCCTTAAACTAGGAAATGAGTTTTTCATATTTTTTATTTAGAAGAGTCTTTATAACTATTACACTTAGGACTCTGGGAATCAGTTTTATTTCTCTGCTCTGTGGCAATGCCAGGAACTCTCATTTGTCCTGTGCTACTGAACCAAACCAGGAGAAACAGCAGGGACAGAACTTCCTCTTTTCCCAGTGATGCCCCCCTAATTGTGCATTTTTCTATGCTGAATTTTACTTCCTATGTGTTTGTCCATGACATATAATGTTTGGTGCCCTATTTAATGTGGGGTCTCTGGATGCTATTAACTGCAAATAGTACACTGTAGTTTGTGGGGAGGGCATGAGAGAGCAGAAATGGATATAGAGAGACTATTCTGTTATCTTGAATTAAGCTTGGAGAAAAATAAGTGCAGGATGTTTCACTATTGTTGTCCATTTCTGGGTGACTATTTGACTTCCATTTCTAACCTTCGAGCCCACCTGTGGAGGCCACTCCACCTCTACATCTCTAACGAAGAAAGGGGCTTCAGCTCTCAGTGTGCTGCTGCACATGAAGTACCTGTTAGACAGAGGCGTCCTCTCCATGCATCTGATCTGGATGGTGCTGAGCTCCTGCACGCTGCCGGGGCGGCTGCCAGTGATGGTGGTGTTTGGGATGCGGTAAGTCTTTTTATGTCTTCGTGAGCAGCAAGTGCTGGTAACGCCTTGTTGAGACGAGAGAGAGGGACTGTGGCTTGGGGGTCTATTGACTGTGGAAACCTCCATGCAGCTCTCTTCATAGACTTGCTCATCCACAAACTCGTGATTCTAGCCCAGAGGAACCCAGCAAAAGGACAAAGCACACACACAACAATAATTAAAGAGAACATATTAATCATGATTGTTTAAAGACTTAAATTGACACAACTGAATAAACTGGGAAAGTTAGAGAGCTTATTCTTGATTATAGTCTTTAGCCCATATTAGCCTGGGCTGAATACCAATACAAATGTAAACGCTGGAACAAAATGCTCAGAGTTCTAAATAAGAAAAAGTTAATCCAAATAATTTTGTAAAAAAGCACATGATTGTAACGCAGTTCAAATTATAAATATCTCTGTAATCTATGAAGTGCCACAAAATAGATGAGTACGATTATTAATAAAAATGCAAGTGGTGCTTATGTAAATATTCTAAATGTTAATTGGAAATAAATAAGATTTATTATATTGCAATATAATGAAATAAAATGAATAAATATTTTTCAGATGAGCTTATAAAGCTTCCTTTTTAATCATGTTAGAAATCAGGATCTGAAACAGTGTGCTTCGAGGTAAGCTTCTATGTAAAAGAAAGAGATTCAGTCAAATAGAAGTTTTCATTAAATCACAGAATCACAGAATATTAGGAGTTGGAAGGGACCTCAAAAGATCATCCAGTCCAACTCCCCTGCCAGAGCAGGATCACCTAGACTAGGGCACACAGGAACACGTCCAGGCAGGTTTTGAATGTCTCCAGAGAAGGAGACTCCACAACCTCTCTGGGAAGCCTGGTCCAGTGCTCTGTCACCCTTACAGTAAAAAAGTTTTTCCTTATGTTCAGGTTGAACCTCCTATGCTCCAGCTTGCTCCCATTGCCCCTTGTCTTACCATTTGAGATGAGAGAGAAGAGCCTGGCTCCTTCCTCCTGACACCCGCCCTTTACAAATTTATAAACATTAATGAGGTCACCCCTCAGTCTCCTCTTCTCCAAGCTAAAGAGACCCGGCTCCCCCACCCACTCCCCATAAGGGAGATGCTCCACTCCCTCCATCATCTCTGTGGCTCTGTGCTGGACTCTTTCAAGCAATTCCCTGTCCTCCTTGAACTGAGGGGCCCAGAACTGAACACAATATTCCAAATGTGGTCTCACCAGGGCAGAGTAGAGGGGGAGGAGAACCTCTCTCAACCTACTCACCACACCCCTTCTGATACACCCCAGGATGCCATTGGCCTTCTTGGCCACAAGGGCACAGTGCTGGCTCATGGTCATCCTGCTGTCCACCAGGACACCTAGGTCCTTCTCTGCCTGGCAGCTTTACAGCCACTCGTCCAAAAGCCTGTAGCGCTGCATGGGGTTATTG